AAATGAAGAGCTATATATAATTTTTGTAATTATTTTTTTTAATTATTATTTTTCTGTGCACCTTCTTGATTCGTAGCATCTCTACAGCTGAGGTAAACAGTGCAAAGGAAAGATGACCCATAGACAAAGTGTAAACACATGCTTAAACAAAGAGGAATCATCTTAGAGATGATTTAGCCATCATTTAAAACATTTTTAGAAAGTTTCATTTACAGATGGAAATTCTGAATTTTAGTGTGAAAGCCAGGGAGATGGTGCAAGTTTGTTGGGACGACATGATCGGGATGCTCAGCGCTGTCCGGCTGTAAGATGCACTGTGAGCAGTTTGCTATGAAAAGATCAATAACTACAAAGACTCAGCTCGACATGCTTTCTTTCCCCTACAGAAACACAATATGCATACTCATATATATATATATATATCCCTCTGCTAGTGATAACCTCAGGAAGCATTAGCCATTAGGCACTTTGATGTACTGCCTCGGGCTCCAGGCCCCAAGTCCAGTCTCCTCTCAAAGTGGAATCAGGCCAAGCTGACTGGGAGCACTGGGAGATACATGATGGGTGTGTGAGTGTGTGATCGTCACTACGTGTCCCAGAAATGCTTCACTGCTTCAAGGAGAGGTGATGATGTCCTTGAACAAGGGGTAGAATTTCATTTATGAAATCCAGTTGTGATCCTACTTAAAAAAAAAAAAATAATAATCTAAAGATTTTCATACATATTTAGTGGATTTTGTTTCCCTCAAAAAGGCCCTCTGAGCCAAGGACAGGACCCTTTAACAATGAGGTCTTGTTTTCCCAGCACAGGCACCACACTCACCCTCTCTGCTCTGTTCAGTGAGAAAGCAGTGAGGCTGGCTAACAACAACGAGCAAAGCTCTTAAACCCAAAATGTGACATTTGGGTTGAGTACTGTTGAGTCAGTCTCGGCACAATACAGTTCAGTTTTACTTATATAGCACCAGTTCAGGACAACAGCTGTGTCAAGGTGATTATACATTAGAAAAACAACAATGATCAGGACTGTGAGCAGCACTTGGCAACAGTGAGGTGAAAACGAACGCCCTTTTAAGAGGAAGTGAGCTCCAGCAGCACCAAGAGGGGCAGCTACCTGCCTCCACCATACAGCTTTGTAATGTGTTACTTCCTGTTTGCCAGTGAGACACCAATATCCAGTGTAACTCAACCTTATTCAGGATGAGCCAAATTACTGACAAACTAATTATTTAAATGTAACATTTCTCATTTTGCCCAGAATACTGTTTATTCTGGGCAAAATGAGAAATGTTACATTTAAATATTTTTACAACTGGATGAGAGCCGACTTGCTCGCTGCCCCACAATCTCACTAGTGCACTTCACTGTGGGATGTTTCCTATGTTTGCATATTACATTTCCCAACATTTGGCATAATACTGGACAAACAACACAATTTTTAGAGGTACTAACAAAAATCTACCTAAATACTAAACAAACATAAAGATACCCAGTGAACCACATGTGCTGTCCCAGTGTACCAGCACATGTGATGTGACAATAGAAGTGATTTGATTTGATGCGTTTCATAAATAAATATGTACAGGCATACAGTTCAACCTGACCTCTGGTGGCTGTAAGACATCTGCAGGCCAGGTGCTCATCAGGAATGTTAGTCATGCTCTCAAACATTAAACCTAGATAAAATCTGTCCTTAAAAAAATCCAACTGAAATCTGATCACCAGCCAGTAAATGTGGTGCACATTTGGTGGCACAGATTGGCTTTTTGAGGATCCTTTTCGTGGCTCATTTGGCAAGAAGAAATCCAACTGACTAAACCACTACAGACCCCCCTTTTTTAAATACACAAAATCATAAAATGGGGAGATTAACAGTCTGTACTAGACCTTCACAGACTGGAATCATTCCAGTTTATCTTTAGCTGTGCCAATTATGGAGCTTCACACTCAGCAAGAGATATTTGCACATTTCAAGTGAGATTCCATGACACGGATCCAAGAATACAGGAAGCCTGAACATTAATGTGCTATTCTCACACTTAACTCACAAAAGAAAAGAAGCCACCTTCAGACAAACAGTCATAAACATGCAGCGCTTCTGAGCCTCGTGTCGAGGTTTGATAGAGATATAAGTGACCGAGATTTACAGGATAACTTCAGATTGTTTATTAATACTCTTATTGTCATTTAAGCCCACTAGTCCTGGTGTGATCCATCACTTTGCTGCTGAGCACAAATTAATTTTGTGTTACAGAAATGAATCCATTGTGAAGCAAGGACTCCTCACAAAGCTCATTATTGTTGTAACTCGTATGAACCAGAGTTTGTCTAAAGTAGATCTATGACTCACACACACTCTGTCTAAAATACTGTATTTATAAGTGTGTCTGAGGGCAAAACCCATGACTGCCCGCTCATGACTGGCTCAGAGAACCAGAAGATTTAAAATAATTTTCCACAGTGGGTCATGAACCCACTGCTGGTGGGTTATACACAGAGCTGTCAACAAGAAAAATTCCCATGGCAACATTAAAGATTCCACAGAACATATAGAACAATCCAACGAACCTGTTACTTTTATTCACCCATATGTTATGTAGTATCTAAAGTATACTAATAAAGTTAATCACCATCTGAACTACTTTTTAGAACCGTTCCTTAAATACAAGTACCAATAACACGCTACGAAAACACCTCACTACAAGTCAGACTGTGTATTATTGGTAAAGAGCAGTTAAAGTAAAAGTAATGATTCTGATGAACAAATGTTCCATCAGTGTTATACGGATCAATATTACTGCTGCAGATGTTTAAGGCTGTGTTCAGATACTATGGTTAACTGTCACTATCTAAGGCAGAATTTAAAATCTTAATGAAACATTAAGGTGGCGTATTAGCAAAAAACAAAAATCCTATACTTAGCCACTAATTTTATAATACATTTCACCAAAACTACTACTGTTACTACTACTACAAAAATAATAAAGATTATAATTGTAACTATAATAGTGCAGAGAAATCTGCAGCTTTATCGGTCAATAATGACAGCTCAGACAATGGTAGCTTCTACTGCTACCTTCTTGCAGACAGCACAACAGGAGCACTTTGCTCCCCTGACCTCCTCTAACTTTGACCGCAGTACTTCTCCCCCGATTCATCATTGTGCTGGCCTGACGTTTACGTGCTCAGCTCCCATTTAGAACTTAATCACCATTTCCTTCCAAATAGGTCACAGTGAAAACAGCCAGTCGGGAGACCAGATGAAGGGATTAGCCTTGAAAAACAGCAACCTTCGCATATGTTCAAATGAAACTCCACAACAGAGCAGGTGGGGTTGTTTACTCTGGAAGGATGCTGCATTTAACTGCATAAGAAGGTATGTCAATCTGTGTGTCCGTGTGTTTGCTGAGGTAACAAGTGACTAGCAAAGGCAGGGAGGAGGGCACAAAAACAAAAAACCTTGGGTGACCTATTTCATGATAGGCTAGGCAAACAGCCCTGTTACCAGGAGGAACCAAGAGTTAGATGCTAACTCATTACATGTATGCTAAACACTTGAACGTAAACTAACAGGTCAGCTCCTTTTCTTCTAAAACAGTGATCTGGACATCAGATGCTTCCTGTCTGGCTGTAAGGTGCTTTTATTACACTTTTTCCCGGGGAATAACAAACTACAGTATCATAACGTCTGCTATTTATGGTTATTTTAGGGCCAAATAAACAAGAGGAATGCTTGAATTAGAAAAAGGAACACTTTCAGGCTTTTGTTAAGAGGAAACGGGAAAGAACCTGAACTATTTGTTCAGCTGAAGGGTCCATTAAAATTAGCAACAATGGTTTACTTTGAGGCCAGTGTAAGAGGTACCAGAAGCAAACTAGAGATGCAACTGAATTAGGTGCACTTGTCTTATCTAAGCAACAGCCCCAAAAATATGCACTTTATACATTTATAAAACAGAGGAGAATACAAAAAACAGCCAAATGTTTAGTCCTTTTAATTTGAAAAACTGACAACAAGCCTACAGCTACAACAGCTGACCAAAAATGTTCAATCAACATTTTGAATAATCAAATCACTGCCTCAGCTCAAGAACATGTCACAGCATACTTGATTGTAAGGCTGGGAGATTAGCTAAAAATTAACCTCTTCAGATCCTCTAACCGATATAATCTGCCCGTGTTGATTACTGTTGTTGGTTTTAAATTCTGTTAATATTTCCCCCATTGTATCTTGTTACATGACTCTGCCCTGCCCAGCCTGTGACATGGTGACAGGAGGAAAAGTCAATCACTGAGCAGACACTAACAATAATAATAATAATAATAAAAACACTAATAACACAATAATATTTTTGTTTGTTTTTAAGTTGCTTCATTTGTTCTGAGCATCAGTTAAGAATCCACCAAAACTGTTGCCATCCATTTGCTGTCAATCAATTGATTAATCAACTAATCGTTTTAACTTTGAAGCACTTGGAAAATGTTAAAAGTGAAATGTAAAATTCTTCTCATGAATCATTTGTTGTATAAAACAGTAAAAATACCCATAGTGAAAACATGTTCCAATATCAGTATAAACAATAATATTACGCAAATAGATTTCTGATAAGACAAAGAAAACCTGCTATGTGCTCATGAATATGATGTTGCAACACAAAAAGCGACGGGCTATCAGAAACTGTTAGTGGATCATTTTCTGTAAGTCCGTTTATCTTTGCTGTAGTTTGTATTCTGAGTGTGAAGCAACAGAGGATGAATATCATCGTTATAAGAAATATGTGCAGCTCTAAAACACTGATGGAGCATCTTCAAACAAGACATTTTCTGTCAGCTAATCGATTGATGGATTAAATATGCCACACGCCTACCTTCCAAGCTGAAGTCTAGCAGTACATACTCGTACACGGTGTCTGTTTTGGTCTCCACCTGCGGTCTCTTCAAGGTGGAGTAGATTTTCCCGGGGCTGCTATCCTCCGGGTCTTCTAGTTTCCGCAAGCCGCAGCCCATGGCCTCCAAGGCGGGTACTGGCGTTACTGTGGTGGGAGCACCGGAGGAGACTCAGCCTGTCTTTAGCTCGCAACTTCAACCGGACCGCCCCATCCCGCCTCGGTCCACGCTGTTGATTCCTTGGAATTTATTTTGAATTTCCACTGAAAAATAGCAGGGAAGGCTTTTGCTCGGTGGTTTTAAGGAAGAAGTGAAAAAAGCCCGAGAGATGACTTCGTAAAGCGGCTAATGCTTAAAGAGTACGCCGCTGAAGTGGCTGCATGTCAGGAGCGTGAAGAGGAGGAGCGCGAACCTTGGAGAAAAGTTTCCCTCTACAAACAAGCTAGCAAAAACGCACCAAGGATACAACTTCCGCTACAATTTCAAAATAAAATAGGAAAAACAGGAAACGGCTCATTTCAATTACATTTGAAGGGTTTGAGGATTCTACAAACACTACTGCTTTGCTTCATTAAGTGGTTCACTTTCATACCTTCGCCATTTTTGGCGAATAATAAAAACAATAAAATATTTAAAGTATAAAAAGTATCAATATAAAAGCTGCCATAAAAACTTATACTTGTTGCTCATGTGTCGTCTGAGATCATAACATTAGTAAATATCAAAACTTAAAAGCACAGGGGAATGCTAAATATTACTATTATATGCTATACTATTATAAGAAAACTGAATGAATCAATTACTTCTCAGAACCAAACAGAACAAAAACCTAGACCCAAGCACCCAAGCACCCAAGAACCGACGACCATGACTAAAAGGGTAAAACAGAAAACACAAGAAAGCAGGAAACATATATGTTTCCTGCTTTCTTGTGTTTTCTTTCTTCTTTATTACACTACTCATTACGTCATGTTTGTTTTACTCACTAACATGACCTGAAGTGCGCTGTCACATACCATTACAGTCTTCCACGCCAACACATACACTCTTTCTTTTATTGTTTAAGTTTGAACACAATGCTGCTAACATGAAGCAAAAAGTGGTTTAAAGCCAGTGCAAAGAGACTTTAGTGTCCCCACGGTGATTCCACCGTAGAGACATGTACAGGTAGAAATGAAGTCTACAATGCAACAAGCCTGACTCCTCGTCCCTCAGCAGATGTTTGCAAACAGTCAATGTTGTGTTAGCAGTATAATACTTTGATGCATTTTGCACTTTACCGTTGCACTTTGTCCTTTGCTGCAATAAAAATCTGCAAATCTCTGCTTCTCAAAAGTTAGATACTGCTCCACCACTGTCCTCCTCACTGCACACAAACCACAATCAGCTGTCTGTAGCACAACTGAGCAGGAAGAAAAGGACACATTTGATGCTGGTGTGTAGACAACTCAACAACCTTTGTGATGCAAGCAACAAGATAATTGTAACCGTAAAGTGATTACTGACTTCAGTACAATAACTTGTTGCACTGCAGTGACAAATGTTACGCTGAAACATGTTTTTCCTCCCTCCTTTGGCCATAATGATGAAAGCATGTTTACAGCATTTCGAGCCTCTTATGATAGTTATTATGACTCAGAGATATTGACTAAAGATACTTAAAAAAGAATTGTTGGGTAACTTTTAATACTCAAAGACCCTCATCCTTTCTGAATAATGAAACGACAGCAAAATAACTAAAGAGAGTCTGAGTTAGAAGTTTTTGTCGTCATAAAAATAATAACAAGTAGAGCGGAAACCAGAGAGAAATTCAGGTGTTGGAGACGTGTGACCCAGCTTAAACTGTCAAACACATTATTAAGGAGCAGTTCTTTGGAAAAATGTCATGTGTGTCGTTCAGTCACTAATTAGGGCGCCTCCTGTGCATCAGCCTGCTGTTCTGCACTCCTAATGGTCTTCAGTGGAAATCACAGAGTGACAGAGGTCTAAGGTCAGCATTGTGAAGGTGTGTGCAGGGGTCACCGGCTCAGCCTTGCAGTTTGATGCCACATGTTCTGCTGCCCTCCAGCTCTGCTCCAGATGTTTTTAATTAGCACCCAAAGATGAAGTGACAGCAGTCAGCCTCTCAGTTCCAGATAGCTTAAAGAGTGTGAATCCATACAGTGTGACACGAGCATGCTGGCAAAAAGGGCTCTGATTAAATTACGCACCGGCAGCTATGTCAGTGAAAGCAGATGAGCAGATGGCTGACAGCGGGACAGGGAGGCGGAGGTGCGACAAACTGTTCAGTGATTGTGCGCGTGGCTCTGGGAACTACACAGTGTCTTGGATACATTAGTGACGAGCAGGTGATGTGGAGTATTTCCCTCACTCGATGTTCCCTCTGTTAATGTTGACTGATTATTGAGCGTTTGGTGCACTGAAACCCTAAACTGTTGCCAGACAGACTGTGAGACAGCTGGCCTTTTAGTCTGTGTTAAAAGCTTGGTAATAGTTTTCATATTAGTGCCACTTCCTCAGAGCTCTGGCACAAGTTGTAAGAAAAACCCCAACTTATATCTCCTGAGTGTGGGACCCCAACTCTATTCCTAAGTTAACTCTCCAACCCCCACCACCCCATGCAATATGATCTTCTAACACATGAATAAAGTGTTATTTTTTATCTGTGTCTCAAGTAGGTGTTTTACATTTTGGGTACCTCCTTAAGTGTATCATTGGCAACAATCAATGCAGAGGACTCTAGAAGAGAGTTTTCACCATATGTATATGAAAGAGTAGATGCTGTGGAAAGGCTGTGCAGTGTAGAAGGTACTAGAGATTAAAAAATGCTTTTTTTTGAGACAGCCATAATACAAACTGACATAATTTAGAAATGTTAGTTTTCTATAAAACGTTTATTAAAGTGACTACAGACCACAGTAAGATTATATTAGCAGGCACCTATTAATATATAAAATAATTATGGTGTAATTTAACCTCCTAAGACCCGAACTCTTCCACAACATGCATTTTTAATTTCTCTTTGATATTTGGGCATATTGGGGCCCGATGAATGTAAAAACAAAGAATTACCATATTTTTTTTAACCATATTTTTGTTTTTAAGAAAAATAACAGCCACATATGAGGATATTTGTTTAAAATTTTTATAGAACAGTAGCAGTATAATGTTCTCGTAAGTGGATATCAGGCCCATGTAGAGCAAAATTGAGTATTTTAGTCTAAATAACCCAAAATGTGATGTCCATATATGTGGGCGCCAGGTCCTAGGAGGTTAAATTGATATCGTGCCTGTTTTTGCTTCGTTAATGATGTTTTCACTCATGTTAACTATTGTTTGGTCTGAAGGAACGAAAGGAAGGAGACAAAGGAAGGAAGCAGCTTGATGGATGAAGGGCATTATGAGAGGAAAGGAAGACAGCTGCAGAAATCACAAATATACACAGATATTTCACATTTATAAACTGTGTGTACAAATATATTTGTTCTTGAAGTCCTCCAACCGTCTGTGTGATCTTACTTTTGGGTCACGCTTGCTCCATGTGGGTTTTCTACATTTTTACCCAATGCACTGCAAACATAGAGCTGCATAATACTGATTAATTAGAATGCTTGACTCAATTAGGGGTCAAGTTCAGTGTTACCTGGCTTTATGTTCAAAATTAAAACAAACAGCTTGCAAATGACCACCACCTCAGCCTCTCCGTTAAAGGGAAATGTAGCAGAATGACATGAAAATAATGTGAGCACAGGGAAAACCCTGCCAGGCACATGATGACCAAACCCACAGGGATTTGGGATGAAACTTCTAAAATAACTCTGAATAGTTTAGGCCTGTCTGAGCCTCCAGCAGGAAAACCACTGTCATCCAGGAGCTCCACCCAGTCAGGATGTGCTGAGAAGGAAACCCGGGGTCCTCCTCCACTAAACACAGACTGGAATACAGGAAGGAAGGAGACAGTTTATACAGCAGTACATTAAACGTTTATGGCATTAATGTCTTCCTCCTAATAATCCCATAATTACTACAGACATTATTTTTATGTAGTGAAAAAACAGCACACAAATGAATGCTATGTGGCTTATTAGTAATATGGTTTTGTATAGAATAACAATTTTATGAAACGGGTTTCTTTACTTCATTGATACAGTACAGGTATAGCATCAAAATGCACTTAAAGTATTAATGTAAAAGTACTCAGTTCCAGATTCAGAGGCATCCCCTGCCCCATATCTATGTATCTTTAATTCTTTTCTCTGCCTTTTTTAAACATTTAATTTGATTTTTTAAAAATTCTATCAGACTTAAAATGAAAATATATTTAGCGTATAAATCATTGGAATTTTTTTTTTTAAAAACAGGGTTTCTTGAGATTTACAGTAAAGCAGCAGATGCCACAAAGTATACTGTCAAGGTACAAATAATTGAATTTTGTATCATTGCCCTAAAGATGAAGAGGCTGAGTCGCTCAGAGCTGATGGTTGGGTTGATGGCGCCATCTAGTGTTAAAAACACACACATATGCATTTTAAACTGCTGATCATGTGTTGCTTTAGCTTATTTTAGAGACCAGTGGACTTCTGTATTTCTGTGGGCTTTTTCAGCTATATTTATTTATTTATTTACATATTTATCTGATTATTTTACTTTACTAACTTTTCAGAAGAAGAAGAAGCAGGTGTACAGCCTCTCTGTATTCTTGATAAACTTTACTTCTCACCATCATTTAAGAAAATGTCTTCTTTATTTTATTTCTTTAGTTTCACACTACTTTTTTTATTCCTTTGTAATCCCTGCCCTAACTCCTGCTATCAAAGGCAAAGTGACAGATCATAAGACATCATGCATCTTTGCATATATTGTCGTAGTCTGTGTGCAGCAGGCAGGAACGGAGGACCCAAGTGCAGGACTCAAGATGGCAAAACTAAACTCAGAACTCAGCTTTATTTGGTGGACGCCAAAAAGAACAGAAAACTAACTAGCCTGGGAATCATGACAAGGCTTAACAAGCAGACAGAACACACAGCAAAGTATGAGGGTACAACACAACGCAGAGCAAGGAAAACACAGGGCTTAAATACACACTGAAGCAATGGGAGGGAGACCTAATGAGACAAGGCAAGCAGGACACAGGACAGGGACTATCAAAATAAAACACACGACAAGCACAGAGGCATGGACTTGACACTGAACAAAGGGAACACAGAAACAAAACCTAAGGACTAGAAATCGCAGAATAAAGAACTACCAGAGCTAGAAATACAGAACCATAAACCAAAAGACTAGTAATGATGAACAAGCTCTACAATAATCGAAAAATCAAAACACTGAGTCACGGCCCAGGATTGTGACATATATAGTGTATAAAAAGTTTAGAAATCATTGCTTGCTTGTTTTAAATGTACATTTTACAGAGTGTCCTCAGTTTTCTTG